AATAATAATAGTAATAATAATAATAATAATAATAATAATAATAATAATCGTAATACTAGTAATAATAGTGATAGTAATAACAATAATAGTATAATAGATAATAATAATAATAATAATAAAATAATATAATAATAATAATAATAATAGTAATAATAATAATAATAATAATAACATTATAAAATGATAAATAATAATAATAATAAAATAATAATAATAATAATAGTAATAGTAATAATAATAATAATAATAATGATAGTCGTAATACTAGTAATAATAGTGATAATAATAATAATAATAATAATAATAATAATAAATAGATAAATAAATGAATAAAATAATAAATTTGCAACATTTAAGACTTGCACTACTGAATGATACATGTATCACTCATACCTCGCATTTATATGCGTACATTGCACATTATTGCATTTTTTTGCAGTTTTTATTCCACTGCATATGCAATCATTCAATTCCATTCAATTATTCAGTTTAATTGTATTCTATTCTATTCCATAAAATTTCGTTTCATTCCATTTTACAGTTAATAACTTTCATTTACAGTCATTTAATTTTTTTACAGGCATTTAATCATTTTGCAGTTATTTAATTCTATCCCTTACTGTTTTTATCTGTTCTTACTTGTATTAGTATAGTACTTTCTCATTACTATCAGGTAAAAATGGAATTACTTATAAATTATTTAAGTATAAGTATTATAAGTAATAATTAACCGAAAATGCTTTCCGTTCAAGCGAAACTACAAAACAATTTCTGACATTGACCCAATTCCTCTCAACACATCGTCATTTTATGCATTTGAATTTGATGATCTCATACAAATTACTAATTATTTGACTTATATCTGCTCTAACTGTATGACTTTATTCAAAAATTACTTTAATATCTTTTACTGTAATTACAGTTATTACAAACTTGGCGGTATTATAACGTCATTTTTTATTTCTATATTATTATTCTATACTTTTTGTTTACTTACTGTCATAATTATTTTACAATAGCATTAAGGAAAGAAACTGTTGAGTTTATGTTAATTTTATGGGAAAAAAAATTGCAGATTCGAATATTGTGCCAGGGAGTTGAGCTACCATCTAGTCCAGTAGTACTTCACGTTTTGAATTCAGTTTCATCAGAAGTTGTGGCGTGTTCTGAGGGAACGAAAAATCCACGAAACAACGAGGAAAAAGATAGAATGGATTTTTATCCTCCACCTGATATCGGACATGTTTCATTTTCAGGTCTTAGTGAGCCTTGTTCCATTGGTTCCATTGTTGAAGTTGTGGTAAGCAATTATGCAAATTACTTAATTCACTTTTTCTTAGGGCAATTTTAATAATTTTTTCAAAGTTTTTAATAAATTATCAACTTCACGCTTACTATTTCAGTTATTCAAATGTTTTTTCACAAATTTTTTCAAATTTTTGAAAATTATTAAAAATTTTTTGCAATTAATTTAAGTTTCATAGTTTTTGTGGTATTAAATAATTGCAAAAGTAACCTTTAAATCTTGCAGAATCACAATTAAAAAAAATAATATTTTTACTTGCATAGCAAATTGTAAAGAAAAGAATGTAATAATATGAAATAACAGCAAAAAGACTGATGAAAGTTTGAAGAAAAAAAATCAGAAAAATAATTAATTTTTGATAAACAAATATTTAATTATTCAATGTAATAAAAAATGATTAAAATAAGATAACATACTTCATTGAAATTAAATTTATTAATCGATTAATGAATATCTCGATTAAAAATTTGCAGTTATTATTTTACAGTATAAATTATTACTGTATTCTTATTTAGATTAATGCACATGGTGATTCTTCAACAAGTTCTGTGCTTGTTGAAGCAATTGCACCTTCAGGAAGAGTGAAAAAATGTCAAGTGATAAGGAAAGGAAGCGTTTTTACTGCAACTTTTACTCCTAATGAAGTTGGTCAGTTGATTACTTTTATCATAATTACTAATTATTATGATTCGAATTATTCCTTGAATTAATAATCTGATTTAATATAGACTACATTTCAGTTTAAATTAATTAAATTTGAGTAAAAAAATGCTCAGTATTATGAGGTGTTTAATAGTTCAAAGGTTAAGCCAAAACATTTATGATCTTTTTTTGTGTAAATAAGTGAATTTTTAATTAGTCACATTTGACTAATGAATTAAAATCTTTTTTTTTTAAGTTTTCACTATTTATTGAAGTTCTACTTTTATTGCTATTCGTATTTGAAGCATTTTTTCTACTTATTCTTTTTTTTCAAATTCATAAAATTTACAAAAATTAAATAATGAAATAATGGTTTGTAATGGAATTTATGCAAGTTACAGTTTGTAAATGAACAAACTCATAAAATTCAAATATTAAATTTCATTTCTTGTCAAGTTACAAAATTACTTGTTCTTCATTATCCGTTTCTTTTCTTTACAATACTTATATATTATTCTAATAATATTTTTGAAGGTAAGTGGCAAATTGGCATATTATACGATGGCGAACATATTCGAGGTTCACCATTTTCTTGTAAAGTTTACGATGCTAATCTTGTTCGGGTACTTATTATTATTCACTTTGATATTATCATTACTTAAAAAAATTCAAATTATTTTATAAAACTGAATTTTCATTATTTTACTATTACTATTTAAATTGAACTAAAAGAGTATAAATACACGGATTAAAAAGTATTCAATTATTAAAATTAGGTGTATGGTTTGGATGTTGGACTTGTTGGTCAAGAATTAAAGTTCAGCGTAAATGCATCACAAGCTGGAGAAGGCTTTCTTAAGGTCATTATTTTATTATATGCTTAATTAAATTATTCAAATTTTTCATCAGACTATCCATATTCTACTAATTTTTCTAAAAAATTTAAAAATCATCATTCTATTTATCATTTTTTGATAAATTTTTTTAAACCAATAATTACTAATTAAATAATTTTCTTTTAGTAAAAGTATTTCAAAAATACTCAACACTATTGTAAAGAAATTTTTTAATATTGACAAAAGCATAGTTGTTGAGTGAAAGTTTGAAAAACTTAACTGATCTTCCTAAATTAGTAAAGTTTGAAAAAGGAAGCAATAAATTTGCATTTAATTTTCTTTATGAACAGTAATTCTATATAGTTTGTAAATGCTTCATTTTTTAAATAATATAAAAATGTAGTAATTAATTTAGAAAAATTCTTTAATAATCGCTAAAGTTTTTCATCAGTCTAAAGCTAATTTATATTTAGGCACTAATTTAGTAGATTAGCAGTTAGTAATTAGATTAGAAATTAGTTATTATTTTAAATTTATGTCTATGAAACAAAAGGATTAATTATTCTTTTCAATTTTTAAAATTTTATTTTATTTTTTAAGATTATCACAATTACAAAATCTTAAAATTTTTTAAAATTAAACTGTGTGCAAGAAAAGTTTTAATAAAAAACAAGTTTTTAACGGATCATAATTTTTAAACTATACAAAATTAATTTCATGAGGGTGTTATTTTCATTTTCATTCTTCTTCACATTTCAGAAGTTAATCTGCACGATTGAAAATAATTAACATTAATTCAAGTATATAAGTTTTGAATTTAATTTTAATTTTAGTTTTTTTTAAAAAAATAAATTCAAAGCTCTGAAAGATTTTCCTAAATAAAAGAAAAACATTTATAAGCTTTTATCCCAACTATATTAGAAGTACATTTTTCAAAATAGTTTATCATATATGTATATATGCGTAAGTACAAGATTAACTATCTCCAAAGTATAATGAATTTTTCTTGTTTAACCTTAGTTAGTATTTGCCATGAAAGTAAGATACTTAATAATAATAAAATAAATATTGTATTTTTGTTAGGTATCGGTGATACGACATGGTCGCATGATGCCTTGCGAAGTTTTAGAACAGGGAAGTTCAGGAGTTTATCGTGTAAGCTTTACTCCCGATGGAGCTGGCCAGTATAAAATTCATGTTCTATTCAACAATATGGAAGTAAAAGGTTAAACCTAATTGATTCTGAGTAAAAAAGTGAATAAATAACTTTTATAAACGATGAAAATTCTTTCGATTTTACATAATCTATAGTAAAATATTAATAAGTTTGCAATTGGATTTAGTATACTCTTTAATTTAATGAAAAATTAAAATTTGAATTGATAATTTGTATTTCAGGCTCTCCGTTTATTCTTGATATTGCTGATGCAAGTTCAGTATCTGTTTATGGAGATTATTTACGGATGGCTTCAGTAGATCGACTGAGTACATTTTTTATTCATGCTGTTGACGCTGAATGCAAAGATATTACTGTGAATATTACAGGTATGGAATGCAGCAATTTATGCAAATTACTTTTGCCTCATAAATCTAAATTGTTGTAATAACAAGCAAGCATGCATGTTCTTCATATTTCTTTAATTGCGATAATTAACAGGATCTACGCATATTTTCACGGTTTCTCAATCTCTTACTATACGATACAAATATTTATGCAAATTTTTTCCATTCAAACATTTAAAAATCACATTATATATGTGTAAAACATTTTCTATGATATGCTAAGAATGAAAAAAACGCAAATAACAATTGTTGATGACCAGTAAAATGCAAATGACACTTGCTTGAAGAACAACAATGACCTTGAAGATTAAAAGATAAAACTGTGGAATATTTTTGGTATTTTTATTTTTTCCAGTCAAAAAATTCCACTCATTAGCTGACAATTCTCGATTTAAAAAAATGCAAATATTTACCTTTGGGGTTAAAAAGTTGAAGTTCTAAGAAATAAAACAAAATTCAAGGAGTATTTTCAAATCGTTCATGAAGTAAACTTGATGGATACTTTCTCAGCGAGCTAGTTTAATTAAATGAATGAACTTTAATATTTTGAATTTAGATAAAAGACTTACAATAACTAGTTAATAATAATAATTAATTAATTAATTAGCTAAGACTAAGTATATTTCCTTGACTGAAAACATTATCAAACTCCACTTAGTCTTTCATCTCAATTCAAAATATTAAGTCAAGACTTATTAGTTCTCAAGCATATGTATCTAAAGCTTTATGCTTTTAAATATGATGTGAAAACTTTTTGCAAGCATTTTTATTCTTTATTTACGGTTAAGATATTTTGACATAGTAATTTGATTAAAAGTTCGTTATGTTCTTGACGTGTTTTTCACGTAACCCGAAAATGGAAATTTTTGTGCTTAAAAAAATAATTTTAAAACTGCGAAGAACAATAATAAAAATAACAATAACAACAACAATCATTATGTTTTTATTTGCTAGTTTATGATTATTTTTTGGATTAGTCTAGAATACAGAATCTTAGACTGTTTGATTTAGACTTTAGATTTGATAGTATAATATTAAAATAAATATCTGAGTTTAAACAAAGATGATCGCTTTTTTTTCGGAAAGTAATTCAACAATTTTTGTAACTGTTATTTTTTCACTTAAACAAATACAAGAAAAAAGACGCAAACTTCGAAACTCATTATATTAAATTTAGTCTTTATTTTATTTTATTTTTACAAAATAACAAAATGTATTTTTTAATGTTAAATTTTACGTCGTTTTTTATTAATTAAAATAAAATACTAACTATAAAACTTGAGAAATTATTATTATTTTTAGCAATAATATGTAAGAAATTCTTAATGTTTTATTGCAAAAGTGATGCATTTTATTTATTTGCGCAGTCAAAACATGACGTAACCTCATTAATAATTTTTTAATAATCGCTTTTTTTCAATAAAATTAACTTAATTTTAAAATTAGAAAAATTTTGTTCTAGCGCCCTCTGGAAAGACGAAACGAGCACGAGTTTATCAAACAGATGATGTAACGTACAACGTGGAATGGAAACCTGTTGAAGCTGGTAAATTTGACTTCAGTTATTAATTTGGATGAATTTTCAGTTTTTTATGGATAGAAATTTAAAGTTATCATTGATATTGTTATGCATGATTATAATTCTTAATACTTGATTGAGTTAGCGTAATAAAATTTGATCCTTCTGTTAATTTAATTAAGGTAATTTAGAGTAATATAAGTAAAAGTTTCTGCAGTAAACATAGCACTTTGCCTCAATTATGCCAAAATTTTCTTGCTGGTAAAATTAATAATTTGTTGTAATTGGTTAATAAATAAAATTCAATAAAGTTATACTTAAAGATGAATTATAATATTCTTTTATTTCAATTCGAGAAATACAATTGAATAAAATTATTAATAAATTAGCATCATGTCTTTGATTCAGTGAATAGAAATCAGTGTGTAAAACTGAGTAATTCTTTCTGGTGCCATAACAAATTATTGTTTTCATTAATCAGAAATAAATTATTGAAAAACATGAAACGTTTAATTCTTAGTATTCATAAATGAATCAGTATATCTTTTGAATAAATTAAAAAAGTAGTGATCTGATCTGTTTCTGATCTGATTGCTTCACAGGTGAACATTCTATCGATGTTCGACTTTTTAATCAAAGTGTTTACGAAAGCCCATTTGTGTGTAATGTGGGAGATCCAGACTTAGTTACTGTTCGAAATATGCCAGAATTTATCGATGCTGAAGATCTTTTCAGAGATTACAACTTTGAAAGTATGCATTTTACAGTTAGTTCATAAAGAAAAGAATAAAGTTTTTAATCAAATTATAAATATTGATGGATTCTGTGATATCAATGTAATTATCACTAAGTAAATTAATACGTTTTCATGAAAAATCGATTTGACTGATCATTGATTGAATGATTTAAAAAAATATTAATACTAAAAAAGATCAAAAATATAACAATGATTAAACAAGACAATTTATTGCTATATTGATATTTCTTTAATCGACTGAAGTACTAAAAAAGTTTTAAAATCTGATCAAAGTTGAGATTATATAAGTTAATCATTTTTAATTACATCATTTGTGGTGTATAAATAATTTTACGTAAGCTTCAACGTACTGATTTTTTTCAATTCTACTGAATTTTATTCATTTTGAATTTTTATCAGACATTTAATCAGGTTTCTATCAATAAACTGCCATAAAAATTTATTATGGTATAGTAAAATTTAAAATACTAATTAATTTTTTGAATTTTAAATTAATCAATTAATCGACAAAAAAATTGGCTTTATTTTTAGGACTTTTTGTTTGTCCAACAAGTTTCATTTTAGAAATTCAACTTAAATCTGCAAATCTTGTTATAATTAAATTGACTTTTTGATAATTCGCTTTTGATAGTTTGCATTAAACTTGTCATTAATTAATTTTAAATTTTTTAATTCCAATTCTGATTAATTACAAATACTTTTAATACTGAATAATTTGCATATTTTATGAACTAATTGACTAATTTTAACTAAATTAATAATTGAAGAGAATTGATTATTTTCAAAGAACTTTGATTACTCACTTTTGCTTAATAAATTGTGAATAAACTGTTTATATTTATTGCCGGTATGATGGAATAATAACTGTTTAAAAATTAAAAGTTCAAATGTCAGAAGCTAATTAACCATCAAGTATGTATATGGTCAGCTTTTCGTGCATTTAATTCGTAGAAATGATTCTTTCAATAGCTTTTGCTGGAAAAATTACAAATAATCATTAAAAGTCGAATTAAAAATAAAAGGCACCTCAAAAAATCATTCTATTTAACATTTTTAAAAATTTTTAAAATTTATTACTTATTACATTTTAATTGCTTGCAGTTGATGCTAGTGCCGCAGGTTCAGGTAATTTAGAAATTATGATTAATGGTGGACGTGTTGGATGCCACGTACGCGAATTAGGTGGACGGCATTACTTAGCCTCTTTCACTCCCAATCAGGTCACTTCCTTTAAATTTATCAAACGATTTGTTTAGTATTATTTATTAGAATGATCAAGTGAATTACACGTTGTATACTGAGATCACATGAGATGACCTATAACCTATTCTAAAACTGCTGAAGTATTACGGACTTGCTCATTAAGTCATCGGAAACAAGTTAGACTTTTTGACGAAACTTGTCATTTTGCAAATTTAGCTGACAAAACTCTATTTATATTTTTACAAATGTTCACTGATATTTACTAATAATGCACGGAAAATCTAATGAAGACTATTAATATCTCTTTTATAGGCAGTTACACATATCGTTGAAATGCGATTCAACGGTGAAAACGTGCGGATGTCACCGTGGAAAATTCAAATTAAAAATTCTCAGCCAATTTCAACAACTCCAAAATATGAAATGCAAGAACGAGTGATTCGAAATGTTGAAAGCAAACGGTATGATATTTGTTTTTATGCAAATTTTTTTGCAAAAATGCTTTTTTAAATTTCAGTGCAAATTAAAATAACTTAAAGAATTATAAATTAAAGTAGAACTTGACAAAGTTTTTTTACCATGAACTTGTTCTAACTAAATTTTTTTTCAGAAATACAAATTGTTTGCTTTCTGATGACATAAATTTTGAATATAAATTTGAATATTCAGTACAAATTTGAAAACTTAATAAAATATCATATATTCTTTGTATAAATTTAAGTTTACTTAATGATTACAGAGTAGAACGAGCAGAATCTTGGTATACAGAATTAACTGGAATTGGATTACAACGTGCTGCTGTTGGTGTTCCAACAATATTTGAAATTACTGGTGATGGTATTGAAGAAAGTGATATTAAAGCTCGATTATATGGTAGGTATTAATAATTCTTATAATCAAAAACTTGCACCAAAAAATTCCTCATGAAAATAATTGTGTGGCTTTGATCTATTTTCAAGATCATTATTATTTTTTCTTAAAAAATTACATTTTTTGCCCGTCTATTTATTTAGGTATTATTTTAAATTCAAAAAAACAAAAGGATAAAAATGTTATTTTAAAAATTTTTGTAAAAATAAAATTAATAATTTCTTGTTTCGTCAGGTCCTGATGGCGTTGATTTGCCCATAAGCGTTTATCGACAAACTGATAACAAATTAATCTGTGAATATCGAATTAATAAGGTTATAAAATTCAAGTTTTGTATTCTATGATTGCATTCGTACTGCTTAAGATTATCTTTAACATTATAAATTATTAATCCCACATCTCTTCTAGTAAACTCAAAAGTAAAAGCAATAACTAATCATTTAACTAAAATTTTTTGATCAAATTCATATTTTTATTTTGCCTTTCAATAAAATTTTTAATTTCACATAAGCACAGGTCGGTGAATACCATCTTGAAATGTCAATTTGTGGTAAAAAAATTGACCCTTATCCGTTGAATATCTCCGGGTATGCAACCGAAAATGTTAAAATTGAACCTCTTGGTGGTGGAGCACCAGGACAACCTGTACAGTTTATCGGTAAGCACAATCTGCTACAATCTACCAGTTGACTGGCCTGAATTTACTAAAATCCATTATTTATCTTCTCAAATTTAAAGCTTAATAAAACACATCAATTTTAAGCGTATTTTAAATTATAAATTTATAAAAAATAAAAAATAAAGTTTAATAATAAAGCATTCAAAATAAAATTATGCATTGAAAAGTATTTTTGAGTACTTTTATTCGCTTCCAATTATACGTTGTTATAATTGGCATAAAAGATGTTCATATTATTCAGCCATTATAAAATTATGTTTATTTATTTACTACTGCTTGTTTTTCTATTGTGTTTTAGAGTTTAAGAATTTACAGATATTAAAGTTTTTACTTCTGTTGCTTTTTTTCCCTACTTTTGTACGCATATGGTAGTGAATAAACTTTAAATAATTGTTGGAAGATTAGAAAATTATTAGAAAGACAAAATTTGGCATTTTCTTAAACTGATTTTACAAGTAAAATCCCCAAAACTTAGAAACAATTTCAATTTGTTCATATAAATTTTAAATCTTTAAAATTTCAGCATATACATAAAATTTTACAAATTGAAATTGGCTGAAAAAAATTAGCATAATATCAGAGTTTAATAAAAACTTTAAATATTTATAGAATTTTAAAAGCTTTTAAATTATGCAAATAAATCTTTTTAATGTAAGAAAATATTAGCGTCTGTGTTATGTTGTAAACAAGAACTTATCAGTATTTTGCGTCAAAAATTTTGAACTTAAAAAAAATACTTTTTCTAAGAATTGTGTCACTGAACTTATCACTGAAACTGATGAAAATGTTGTTTACAATTTAGTTTGAGTGATATATATATTAGTAGCCTGTAATAGTAATAATTATTTCTGCTGATTTATATAGAAGAAAAGAATGTCGACCAAAATTATGCAAATTTTCATTGTTTTATCAGTTATGCAAAAACTTTAAAACATTTTTGAAATTGTTTTAGTGTGAAAAAAAGTGTTGATTACAGAATTCAATGTTTTTGCACAATGACAAATTTTTATGATACAATTTTGTAAGCATATCGTGAAGGACCATTTTAGAAATCAAAAGATTTCGGATTGCAGTTATTCTGTTTAAGTTATTATATCTGAGAGATTAGACTGTTATGATGTGAATAACTAACTTATTTCTGATTATGTTTTAAAAATGAATGAAATTCATTTTAATGCGTGAGATTTGTGCTATTGCGCGGGATTCATATTACTGCGCGAAATTGATTATAATGCATTTTTAGTACAGTTTATTCTGAACTCTAATAATTCATCTTTGCTAAACTTTTTAGAATATTTTTTCATCAAAAACAGAAGACATACTTACACATTTATGTGTTAATACCGATTACACTGAGTGTTCTTCCTAATTATAATGATTTTAAATCAGAACACATTTCATATTCATTTTGTTGAATTAAGAGAGAAATTACGCTAATATCATATTTTTAGCCAAATTGAGAAAGAAATTAAAATTGGATATATCAAAAAGAATATCGCAATAAGAATATTTCGAACTATTAATCAGATTATTCAGATATTATCAGCAAAGTATGGAAATTATAAAATGCTGTCAATATTTGTAGCATTTTGAAAAATAACTTTATTTGCATTTTATTGTTTTAAATCCTCAGGGATAACTTAAGTGAATATTTTTATCAGTCTTGATCACCAGTAATGTGCTAGATTAGTTCTTCAGGAATAACTTAAGTGAATATTTTTATCAATCTTGATCACCAGTAATGTGCTAGATTGGTTCTAGTCGTAGTTATTATTAATTAGCATTATCTAATTAAGATTTGGTAGATTCGCTTCATACTTTACTGCATTGCAACACGTTTTTTTGCGTTATTTATTTAACTTTTGTCTAACTCGTGCCATATATTGTCTATTATAAAGTCAAAATGATTGCTAACTGATTTTACAGCAATTTATTTACGATAATAATATATCGTTTTCCCAGTTTGCTTATCTTATCAGAGAAATCAAACATTACTGTGCTGATCAAAGTGCGCTTGTTTTCCGCTAATTCAGCTGTTAGTCATTTTTCAAAGTTAATTGTTAGTTGCATATTATGTTTTTTGTCTGTTATTAAGTCAACATGAATTTTGACTAAGATATTCAATGAACTTTGAACTATAGAATTGAAAAATTTTGAATAAAATATCAAGAATTTTAATCAAAATTGCAGTAATAATACAAATTTGGATGCAAAATACCAACAGTTAACACTGATAACAACATGTGAAAATACTTTACTCTTATGTTATTGAAAATTTGTTCGTAATTTTATTCTGTAAAGATTTATTAGTTAAAATATATTTAGAAATATTTAAAAAATTTATATTTAACAAATTTGAAATTAATATTTAACAAATTTTGAAAATCTTTGTAATTGAGCAAGCAGGAAAATCAAAATGCTACAAATATTTTATAAACAAAAAGTAGGAAGTGATAAAACAATGATCATTGTATTTGCATACATTAGTATAATGCTAAATAAATTTAATTTGTCAATTATTTATATGCAAATTAAGTTTATTAGAATAATCTACTTTTGTAGACATCATTCAAGGACAAAGTTATCAAACAGCAAATTCCTCGTTTTGTTCAAATTTTGAATAAACTGCAAATTCTTGAATAATTTTTCAATTCTGTACTGATTATTCTAAAAGTAAAGTTTTGTCTTTGTTTGAATATATTTTGAAAATTACAATGAAATTATTACAATTTGCTAAGTAAATACTACTCGATGATTTAGGTTGTTTATGTGTTTTGTTGAAAATATATAAATATGCAAATTATTTTTGCTGCCATGATTATACATACGTAAAATATTAGATTCTGTTGTATTTTTAGGAATGCTTTCTTGTATTACTTAGTTAATTCCTGAAAGTTTGCAAACAAATCCTTGGAATTATGCAAATTATGCTTCGCTCACCCGTTTTGCTTAAATTATATACATATTACATTGTTGCAATCGACTGATTGCTTGGCAATTTTTATGCATATTTTATTCAAATTTTAAAAATATATTATAGCAAGTTTTTTGTTTATTAATATTCATATCTTAGTTGTGATATTATCATGATAAAGTTTGTTAATATTTAATTCTTGATAAGTATTTGAGAGGCGGGTTGATTTACTCATATTGAGCGGTCGTTTCTGCATACCTGTCGTTGTCATCCTATTCATTTTCACCAATTTTTAATGTCACAGTGAATTGCCCTCCCAAAATTGTCTACTAAAATGTTATCGGTAAAGTTTTTAATTACTATTTGTATAAATAATTACTATTTGATTGATTTAAAATTTAAAAAGTTAAAATTAATTAATTAATTTTTGAATAAAAGATTAAACTTTTTAATTTTGAGCAGTTATTGAACATGTTTTTATTTGAGTTTTTTTGAAATGTATGCAAAGTTTCAAAGAGTTGTTAATCAGTTTTGTCCTATACCTGTTTCCTTCTCAACTGCTGTCAATACTTTTCTCGAATTTCGCCAAATACTGTCATTAATTGATTTTTTTTACTTTTGATTTTATTCGTCTACTTGATCACTTCTCTGATATTATATATATTTATTTGTGAATAATTGGAAGCGAATTTAAACGAGTTAATATTTATTTAATTATTGAAAAGGTAGACAAGTAAGTCAAGAAGAAATGAACGAAGGACGAACTTATCTGTCACAACTTTACGTTGTTCCTGCAGTTGACGCAGTTGACGCGGGCAAAGGTCAGTTGGAAATTAGCGTGAATCAAGGAAAAGTACCAAATAATGTACAAATGCAAGGTGCAGGTCGGTGTTTGGTTACTTTTATTCCGCAATATCCCGGAAAATACGTCATTGATGTGACTTTTAATGGAGAACAAGTTCAAGGTAAAATTTCCAAGCATTTTTTGAATGAGACAAAATTGTCATACTTAAGTATTAAATAAAACTAATACTTAAAGTATACCATTTAAATTAAAATGAATATTAAATATACATTTTGATTTAATTTTAAGAACTCTTATAAAAATGTCAACGAATACTTTTAATTTTGCTTATAATAATTTTCACAAATCCTTTTTGATTTATAAATACTTTTAGTTAATTTAATTAGTGCGCAATAATTTTAATAAAAATAAACAAAAAATTAAAACAAAAGTTGTATTTGGTTTATATACAATTATTTGAAGTAAACGAATTCAAAATCAGTAAATAACACACTGAATTTTAATTTACTTGCAAAACTGTCAGAGTTATGCAAAAAAATAAGTACATAAATGCATTTGGAACTTCGAAACAGGTATTGTTATGACAAGAGGAAAGGTTGTTTTTCGTTTGAAAAAAATAACTACTCAATTCTTTAATTTCATGACTCATATTGTTTATCATTATTTTATTATTATTATTACCATTATTATTATTTTTACTGTAACATTATTATTATAGATTTGATTTGATTATAGTACTATTATTGTTATTATTATTACCACCACTATATTTCCATTATTCTTTGTCTTTATTTATCTACATGGTTATTATCACATTATTATATCATCGCTATTATTACTATTATTATTATTTAACTATTAATATTGAGATTACTCTGTCATTATTCTTACTTACTCTTTGAACTTTAATTACGAGGTGAAAACTAAAAATATGATACAATTGAATGCATTTCATTTTTTTACATCCAACTTTATGCTAATAATGATAAAATTTATCAGTAATAACCTTAATTTAATAATTTTTTAAGGTTTTTATCAAATGAGGGAAAGACATAATTAATTTTTATTAGTTTTCATCAAAAATATTTAGTTAATATTTTTTTCAAAACTATTTTTGAAAAAGAGGACATTCGCTATTTTTAATTATATTAATAGTAGTTCGTAGTTTACTGAGAGTAGTCTAATTTAATGATACTACGTTATTAGTTAGACCATTTGATGACATTTGCTGAAGACAAACAACAGTTATGCATTTAAATATATTTTTCAGTAATAGAAAATGTTGAAGTCAAGAAATATATATCATTTAGAATTATAAAATGAGTTATGCTACGACT